TGCAATTGAGCCCAAACTGGCTACGGAAGAAATCAACAGGGCAGACCACGCAACGAGGACCCAACTCGCCCTCCTGGGTCCTGCTCGTGCTCGAGGCCGTCGGCCCTTCACCTTAGCTCGACTTGATCCCGAGGCCCCTGCCCAGTGATCTGACGCTAGCTGAGCTCGTGGCCACCTGAGGCCGCCCAAGACCTTCCCCTGGAGCTCGTCCAAGTACTCCCGAAGGTCCCCGAGCTTCCCCATACACGATCCCCACAGGGTTGTGCCGAGGCTAATGATGACGATCATGAGAGAGAGGGAGATCAAGCACTGCGACACAACCCCGTCGTCTGACATCACGGGGGGCGCTCTGCCCCCGATCTCGAAGGAGTCCTTCTTCAAAAACGGATAGCGCTTGAGCGCTGAGTCAGGCACGCAGGCGGGCGTGGTTAGCCTGCAAACTATCTGCGCCAGGCGATGACCAGAAGGTAGACGATTCAAAGGAATCACCTCGTCCAGAGTCTGGGAGGTCATCTCGTTGCCTGGCAAATCGATCAGGCACTTGAGGAAATCAAGCAAATTCACTGAAAGGATGTGAGGCACATTATCTGCCAACACGGTAGTCTCGATAATTCCGAACACGCCTCCCAGGCACAGGGGAAAGAGGATCACGCTGATGACCCTACCCATGCCACCGATCCCGTGAGCGGCCTTGATCGGGCGGTGGGACCGAGGAATCTCGACGTATGTCAGTCCGTGAGTGGCGAGCGCCTGGGCCTCCCGGTTGAGCGCCTGCACTCCTACCAGGTCGCTCCCGGCCCCGGGATCGACCAGCGCCTGATCCGCCTCGGCCACGACGTAGACCGCCCCGGAGGAGATCTGGTCAGCCTCGTCCCTCCACAGAGGGAAACTCTCGCCGGAGAAGCCCTCGAACATGTAAGCCGACATCTTCTGCCTCTCACCTCCAGCCCGGGCTCGCTGATCTCCACCGGCCTGACCGCCTCCGACGTGGTCCCCGAACTTCGGGCACTCTCGTCCCCAGTGTCCTTTCTGCTGGCACCGCTTGCACCTCGTCACCTTCATCTGCTGCTCGATCGTCAGCCTGCCGCGGATGCCTCGACCTTCCCGGCTCCTGCTGGGAGCTCCTCGATCACGTCGACCACTGGAGCCTCTCGTCCGAGATGCCCCGGCTGGAGAAGGGGGAGGGCGGCGAGGTGGATGACGTTCCCCTGCCTTCGGCTTCGCGCCGAAGTACTCGCGGTCCTTCCGGGCCGCCCTCTTCAGCTCCTTGTTCTGCTTCCACGTCCGTCCCACTGGACGCCGACCCTCCATCATGACCCAGAACTCCTCCAGCTGGTCCTCGCACAAGTTGAGGTCCTCCAGCTCCGCGAGCAGCGCCTCAGCATCCCAAGCTGATTCCTCTCCCGAGTTGCCCTCGACCTCCTCATCGTAGTCGTAGTAGTTGGCGTCGTCCTCCTCACCTTCGACACCTACCTCTGACCGACCGGAGGGAGGGGGAGGAGAGGTCTGAAAAGCACCGCTGGCAGCATCACTGGCACCCGGGCCGAAGCCCTCACTCTCGGCCAGCAGCGCAGTGCTACTGCGACCGGGGAGGAGCCGCTCGGCTCCTCCGGCGTCCATCTGCTTCAGCGCCCACGCCACGTACTCGAAGTCGGTCCTGCCCTGGGTCAGGGTGCGCAGGTTCTGGACTCCCTGTGCTGATAGACCAGCTCCTTCCTCCAGCAGTAACCCCTTCAGCTTGGAGCTCATCCAGAGATCCATGCCTTCGGCCTCCTGGAGCTGAGCCTCTCGTCGGTGAACGAACTGCGTCAGGCCCTCCTTGCTCTCCCTGGACGCTTCGAAGAAGGCCTTCCTGCCGGCGCGCCGGAGGTCGTCGCCCTCCCGCTCGCCAGCCATGAGGTCCATGCGCTGAAGGATCACGTCAATCCACTCTGTCGAGCACAGCTTGTCTTCACTGATGTCCTCGAACTTGGCCTGGAAACTATACTCGAAGAGCTTGAGAAACTTCTCGGCACGCCTCCAGAGCTTCACGTCCGTATTCGTGTTCCAGCGCCTAAGCGCTCGTTTCCATTGTCGATAGTGGGCCCACCCGGGCCAGGTGGGTGGGTCGCTGAAATCGCCTCGACCCCCCCAGCCACCACCGTCTCCGGCGTCCCACGCCGATCTCCGGCGGTCCGCCCAGCTGCCGTTCCAGTCGCCCGAGCTCCAGGCCTCTGCGGGCCCGGGCTTGCCCTGGCCGCCGTCGCAGCTGTTCCAGCCTCCGCCTGTGTCACGCCACCGGCCTTCTCCTCTGACGTCTTTGTCTCCGTCCTGGTGATCTCGCTGGAGGCCCTCACCTCCAGCCTCACGCTCCCCACTGGAAGCTCCTCGATCACGACCCTCACGCCAGGGGTCCTTGCCGGTGTCGTGCCACTCGTCCTGTGACTTCTCCCCGTGGGCGACTCCTCGATGACCACCTCCGTCTGGAGCTCCTGATCTGATAGTCTCTGACACTACACTCTTGATCAAGTCCCTGAGCTCCTCGCGGCGGATAGTCACCGTGGCGTTCTGGCTGCCCGAGCTGCTGCCTGGAGTCTCCTGGCTGCCCGCGCCCACGTGGAATTCCGTCGCCTCCGTCCCTGCCTCGCCGTCTGCGGGCATGATCACCTTGGCCGTGGATCCCACGCTGCTTCGTCAGTGCGAGCGCGGCCGCGGACGAGGGCGCGCAAGCGGGTGGCCGCCTACCTCGTGGCAGGGTCGCCTCCGCCCATGGCACCTCGCCCAGGCCACGCTCCGCTACCAACTGTGGCAGACGGAGACAGACTAGGTGTTTTACCCTTGAGCCACAATTGGTCACGGACAGAAACTCCTGACGCTGAACCTATCAGTGAAAATCTGCCTCACTGCAACACGGGGCCCGCGTCGTGACAAAATCAAGACGTGGGGGGTCTGGGGAGCAAGGGAGGAAGGCCCCCCCCACCCCGCGCGCCCGAGCAGGGCAGGAGGAAGGCCCCCCCTTACTAGGTCGGGAGTGTCCTCGTGCACACGAAATTTTAGTATAAATCCTAAATCATCACAAAATACGGACAAAACATCAAAAATAGGCCGAACATGGTCCCCGAACTATTCTTTGAATACGTTTGCATATTCCTCATGTAGAGACACACGCCCGACTTCAACCCTGGAGCAAAAGGCGCGGTACACCAGGAAACAGCACGTGCTGCAATCGGTTCGCTCCGCTCCGCCGCTTAGCCTCCGTATCCGCCGCGCACACCGACCCCCCCCCCCGTGGCGCTCACTCTCATCGGCCATACGCATAAAAAGGGACCACTCGCGAGAGTGGCCTCAGGCGCCTCCCCTCCTGCAATGATAGATGAACAATCAATGACATAAACATAAAAACTCTGAGGTCCGCGCGGATTCCTCGGATCGGCGCTGGCGCCTCCTGGCGGCGACTCTGGCGCGCTCCGCGAGCCATGGAGGGGTCCAACGCCGATCCGAGAAATCCGCGCGGACCTCCGAGTTGATATTTCAATGTCATTGTTTGTTCCCCTATGGAAGCTCGACCTCGCGTCGGCACCCAAAGCGCGTCTTTGCGCTCGCATCTGGACGCGCCAGGTTTGGGCCCCCCCTGCAATCGACCGCAACACACACGCGGCGCACCCTGGAGTGCGCATTCGTTTCCCGAGGGGTGGCTGGTCGACTGGGCGGCACGATTTCTGACCCAACCCAAATCCTAAGTCGTCCGGTTTGAATATCGAATAGCTTTGAATATATTTGAATATGTTTGATCATCTTTCCGAATCAGTGGGGATCTTTTTTGCAAATCTCTAAAAAGATTCAAACCTATTCCATGCCTCTGGCGGATAGGGCAAGTTTTGGCCAAGACGCCGGACCTGGTCAGACGGCATCGCGACGCGGCCCGGCCCCAGCAGTGCCAGACCTCGTCGTGGTGGTCCCCGGCAGCGTCTGCTTTCGCAGCGCCTTCGAGTTGCCATTCGGGGCGTTCGAACCCAATTGGCAGAATGCTGCGGTTGGCCGCCTGCGCGAAGGATTTTTCGAGGCGCGTCCCACCGATCGTTGATGCGGCGCGGCAATACTGGCTTGGGCGGTTGCGTTGGGCCGCGCCCCCACGGGCGCCCCTGAAGCCACGCACCAAAGGCCGTTCTAGCCTGGGGTCGCTCATGCGTGTAGTCGATACTGGCACTGCCCGAGCAGGGCAGGCATGCCATGTCCTGAGCTGTCAAATAAAATGGGCCCCCAGAAATCCCGACCCTTTCCCCGGAACGGGGTGTTCGTCCAGAGCTGTTCTTGCTGCGGTCCTCCAGGGCCAGGCATGGGCCCCCAGAGGCCACTGAACTGCACGCGAGCATGTCTGGGAGACCAGAGCTGAGGCCTCCCCCCCTCCCAGAAGGAAAAACTGCATGAACAGAAACTTTCGGCGCGAATTGAGGCCCCGCTACTCCCAGAAGAAGAAACAACGGCACAACACACAAACTTTCGGCGCTCCGCGCGGACTTATTGGATCGGCGCCGGAGGCGCCGCCAAGCGGGCCTCAGCGTGGATCCGAGAAATCCTCCGCGCGGAGCTCTAAAAGTGTGTGTTGATGGTTTTGTCTTCGAATTACAGTGGAGGTCAGTCCACAAGAAACCCTCTACAAAAAACCCAACCCTGATACCCCAGGACGCCCATTGACTTTTAGTGTGGGAACGTCACGCTCTAAATCGCAAAACCATTGAAAGTCAGGGTGTGGCATGGGCCCCCACTGTATTGCGCCTCCTCGGTCGGCTGTTAATGGCCTTTTTCTTCTTCGGATTAAGGCTCCTCCTCCTCCTCTTCTCCTCCTCCTCCTCTCCTCCTCCTCCTCCTCCTCCTCCTCCTCCTCCTCCTCCTCCTCCTCCTCTCCTCCTCCTCCTCCTCCTCCTCCTCCTCCTCCTCCTCCTCCCTCCCTCCTCCTCCTCCTCCTCCTCCTCCTCCTCCTCCTCCTCCTCTCCTCCTCCTCCCCACCCCCTCCGCCCCGCCAGGGCCGCGTGCTGCGGCGCCGCGGCGCCGGCCTGCACGAAGGCGAGCCGGGGGGATCGGCGGCCAGAGTCCTCGCCGGGGCGCATTGCGCGGCGGCTGCCGCGTCGCGGCAAGGGCATCGCGGACGGAGGCCCCCTCCGCCTGCCTCCCCTACCTCGTGCTGCTGCTCCTCGTGCTGCTGCGGTTCTTCCTCCTCCTCCTTCCTCTCCTCCTCCTCCTCCTCCTCCTCCTCCTCCTCCCTCCTCCCTCATTCCCACTCATTCCCACTCATTCCCACTCATTCCACTCATGCCCACTCATCCCCTTCCCACTCATCCCCTCCATCCCCTCATCCACTCACCCCTCACTCCTCCTCCTGCTCATCCTCCTCCTCCTTCCCGTTCCCTTAGGAGTGAACCCTCGCTGCCGAATCCCCAGAAGTGTCGGTAGGGCGGGCCGGGCGTTTCGCATGAGACGTCCTCACCATTTATGGTCCTGAAGCTTGATCTATATATATATATATATATACACAGCAGTTGCACGTTTGGGAGCGGTCGTTTTCAAAATGTGGCTCTCCACTGAAAACAACGCACGCTCGATTGAAACAACTGCAACAGCTTCAAAGATGAAGGCCGTGCACTTGTCAAAATGAGGCTCTCGCCTTAGCGCTGCGTGCTCTCGTCATACAAGTTTGTTACTGTTGCCAGGATGGGGGCGGGCCATGTTCAAAATGTGGCTCTCGCCTCAGCGCCGCACACATTCGTCTTGAAGGTTTGCATTAGCTTCAAGGATCGAGGGCGGTCGTTTTCGAAATATGGCTCGCGCCTTAGCGCCGCACGCATTGGGCCTAGAAGTTTGGCTTCAAGAATGGATGGCGGTTCTTTTTAAACTGTGGCTCTCGCCTGAGCGCCGCGCACATTCGCTTTCAAAGTGTTCATCAGATGCAAGGGTTCATATGGTAGAAGTCTCAGGAAGGACGTCCTGGTAAGATGTAGGACTGTCAGGACGCGCAAGTGTCGCTGACTCGCTGCGTTGCACTTACAGACAATTGTGTCCTGGCAAGATTGGGAATCCTCAGACGGTTGTCTTCCAATGGGGTGCTTCCCAGAATGACAATACTTTCTGCAGGGGCCCATGGAGAGCGACCTTGGAAGGAGGGTGCATTACAACATCCTTGATGCGTCCTGGGTTTAAACGTTTTAAACTGGTCCTCCTGCTCCTCTTCCTCCTCCTGCGTTTCCTCTTCCTACTCCACCTCGTCCTGCTCATCATGCTCCCTTCCCCTCCCCCTCATCCCTCCCTCCCCCACCTCTTGCTGCTGTTCCTCCCCCTCCTGTCCCTTTACCTCCCTCCCTCGCCCTCTCTCGCCCACATCCCCCTGTCGCTGTGGATCGGCTTGCCCAGGAAGGCTGAAACCCTTACACCCCTCCGCCCTGATCAACAGTCAGGGGGAGGGGAAGACCTCGACCTCCTCTTTTTTTGCGTTGCGTGGACTTAATACGGCTGCATGGAGCGTCAGTCCTCCTCCTCCTCCTCCTCCTCCTCCTCCCCATCACACCCCTCCTCCCCATCCTCCTCCGTCATGCGGCGCGACCGCGACCGCGACCGCGGCGCAGCGGCGTGGACACGGCGCCGACGCGTCGCCTCTGGCCAGGACCACCGCCCACGGCGCGCTCCAAAAAGCCCCGATCGCGAGAGGCGGGCCTGGCCGGGACGGCGAGGGCGCCGCCGGAGGGGGGGGGCCGGGGGCAGGCCCAACCCAGAGGGCCTTGAGACACTTTGACCCTCGACCCCCAAGAGATCGTTGCCTGGTGCTCGGCCACAGCAGGAGAAGCGAACACGCCGTGGGCATGAGCTTTTGGTGCTCCGCGCGGATTTCTCGGATCTGCGCCGTACCCCCCTCCCTGGCGCGCAGGGTGTGCCAGGGGCGGCGCCGGAGGCGCCGCCCGGGGGGCCCCGGCGCCAGAGCGCCACGCTAGTTCATGCCTGTGGCGTCTGTTCTCCTTCGGGACAGCCCAGGTGGTCCGGTGGAGGGGGGCTGCGAGGTCCTGCCCGAGGTCCGAGCATGTTCACTCTGGGGCAGACCCGCGCACACCAGGACCGAGTGCCCCCTTCGGACCTGCGCAGCCGACAGAGGCCAGGTGGCCAAGTCATCAGGGGGGAGGGGAGGGGAGGGGCGCGGACGGGCCGCACCACCCGTGTGATCCCATTTGCATGGGGGGGGAACGGGTCCTTCACTCTCGAGCCCTCCCGCAGGACCAGCGCTTCGTCCAGAGCTGCTTTTCTGGCCGTCCCAGGGCCAGAGAGAAGGGCCCCTGGAGGCCAAAAACGGCACAACAAAATCGGGACCCGTTTGCCTCAGAACACATCGCCTGCACGGCGCGGCCACGGCCACAGCGACGACGACGACGTCGACGGCGGCGGCGGCGGCGGCGGCGGCGGCGGCGGCGGCGGCGGCGACGACGACGACGACTACGGCGGCGGCGGCGGCGGCGGCGGCGGCGGCGGCGGCGGCGACGACGACGACGACTACGGCGGCGGCGGCGGCAGGGGCGGGGCACGGCTGCGGGGTCCGACAGCACCGGCCCGCGCAGCTGGAACGCGCCGCGGTCGGGTGCGGCGGGCTGGCGCAGCGGGTGCACAGCGGCGTGGGGCTGCTGGGGGGCGACGTGGACCTGCGGGGGGGGGGCGAGGGCGAGGGCGAGGGCGGCGTGGACTGGGACGCACCAAAACGCACGAGCGTCCTCCTGGGAGGCGCGCGTCCGACCCGCAAAAACGAGTACCGGTACGACCACCCCTCGGGCGATGAGGAGGTCGTGGGGGGGGAACGGTCGACTGATGACAACTGCAGCGGCTGTGATGGTGACTCCTGGCGTACTGACCAGGCGATATTTCTTTGCCAGGGCATTTCACTCCCTTTTGGAAAACATGCTAAGAACAGACAAAACCACAAGGCACCCTGGGACACCACGGGACACCACGGGACACCGTTATCGATCCCACTGTCGATCTCCCTCTACCTATCGATCTTACTATCTTTCGGTCTCACCGTCGATCTCACTTTCGCTCTCACAATCTATTTCACCATCGATCTCACTTCAACTTATCCATCGAACACACTGTAGATCTCACTCTCCATCTACCTAGCGGGCTCACTATCGATCTCACTATCAATCTCCCTCTAACAATCGGTCTCACTATTTATTAATCTCACAATCAACCTCACTATCGATCTCACTGTCGACATGTCTATCAATCTCGCTATCGATCTCGCTACCGATTTAACTGTCGATCTCACTATCGATCTCACAATCGATCTCACTATCGATCTCCACTGGACAACGGGACACCGCGCCACGGGACACCACGGGACACCACGGAGCATCACAAGTGACCGGCGGGATATCCCCGGCCACCGCCAGCCAACCGGGGGGAGGAGAGACATTGACCCGGGTTTCGCCCTAGCCAAGCCCGCCATTCCACTCGCCCGCCCACGCAGCTTCGCCTCGCCCGCACGCGCGACGCGAAACCGAAACCGATTTCCAGGTGGGGAGATCTCCGTTTCACTGCCGTCTCGCCCCTCCAATAACCATCTTGTAGCAGATCGTTTCCCGAGCGGTATGCCCAGGAGGCGCCCGCCACGGAGGGCGACGCACATAGTAGCTGTATGTTGGGGCGACGCTGATGGATTAAAGAGCCAACTTGAACCCTGGTCACGTCACGATTCGCGCCGGCGCCGTCTGGGGATTAGCCAGCCTTGAGCATTCCCAAATGCAGCCAGCGCGAGTCGTGAGGTGACCAGCCCCCTCCCCCCCGTCATGCCCTGTATCTCCAAGGGGGTGGAAAAGGGCACCGAGAAACGGCAAAGTATAGACCCCTGGAGGATGAGCAGGAGGAAGATTTAGATTTGCTTGGAGACCAATTTGAGGGACCAATTTTGATTGGATTTGGGTCACGGGTGGGGCGAATGGAGGGGGGGGGGCGCCCTGAGTAAGAGGGCAGGGGGGTCCTCGCAAGCCGTGGGCGGCTTCTGAGAAGGCCCCTCGAAGGCAGTAGGACTTCTGCGAAGCACCCCGCCTTCTCCAGTGGATGCCAGTCCACAAGAGACCTTCCACAAGAAACCCAACCCTGAGACCCCAGGACGCCCACCGATTTTTGGTGTTGGAGCGTCATGCTCTCCATCGCAGAACCATCGAAACCAAAGAAACCCAGGGCACCCTGGAGGCAAGCAGGGTGTCTCTTGGCATGGGCCCCCACTGCAAGAGGGTCCCCCCCCCGCTCTCCTGTCCTGCTGGCCTGCTGGTCGGCTGCGGCTGCGACCCGCACGCAGCGCACCGCGCAAGTGCCGTAGGTTGGGGCCGCAACGCCCGTCACGCTGCTCCAAGCAACACGCGCGCACGTCTCGTGAGCCTGCCAGTCGGGCGCGCGAACCGGGACGGTGAAGCAGAACGGGCACCGTTCCATCACCCGTCTGGGCCCAGGGTGGCAGTTCAGGGTACTCTGGGCGTCTTAATCAGCGTGTGGGGTACCCCTCCGGCGGGGGTCAACCTCGCCTCGTCGTCGCGCCGCGACGGGGGTCGGAACGCCTTCGGCGCGCGGGGGCTGCCCGCGACGGGGGTTGATGTGGGGCTGTCGGCGGCGGTGGCGCCCCCGACGCTTCTTAAGAAACTCGGAGTACGTTTAGGGCCTCTTTAGAATCACTGTCCTGAAATCCTCCCTATTTCGGCACAGCTGGAAACGACTCTGGCGCTGGCAGATCAACGCGGTCACAAAAAGGTTTGAGGAAGCAAAGACAACATAAATAGAAACTTCGGCGGTCCGCGCGGGACTTTGAGCAGGGACCGACCGTCCCGGCATTCCTATAGGCCTAACACGGAATTTCTATTGAGTCCCAAAATGTTCTAGGAACAAAACAATATTATTCAAACATTAGCCAAGTGTTAAAAGAAGAAAGTCTCAGCCAAACATGTTCTAAGAATATTTCGCGCAGACCACAATAGGTTCTTAGACAGTTTTTTGCTGGGCTCATACGGAAGCCAGGACGCTTCGCCACTGCTTGAGATCTCTGGGGTCGGAGCTGCGAAAAATCCCCAAGCAAGCTTGCCCAGGTTCTGAGATGTTCGTGCAAGCAACCAATGGGTGCAAAACCCCGATTCCAGGGCGGCGCTCGGCCCTGCTCGGATTCCTCGGCGCTGGCTGGTTCCCAAGGCTGTCCCCGAGCGCCGATCGGCAAAACAACGAATAACAAACGGCCGCCACCCTGGAGGCAAGCAGGGCGTTTCTTGGCATGGGCCCCCACTGTATGGCTCGCTCGCACGGCCCCGAGCACGGCTCAGCCAACATGGAAGGCGACCTCCAAAAGGCCGCGAGCGGCTCCCAGACCTGGCTCGGCCAAACTCTGGCTTTTCAGGATCCTGCCACATGTGCCCAGGGACACACACACACACACCACACACCACACACACACACACACAACACGCACAACACACACACACAACACACACACACACACATCACACACAACACACTCATAACACACTCATAACAGACTCAACACATGACACACAACACACAACACACAATCCACACACAACACACACACACAAAACACACGCAACACACAGCGCACACGCAACACAAACACAAACACACACACACACACTCAGACACTCACACACACACACACTCAGACACTCACACACACACACTCAGACACACACACAAACACACACACACACACACACACACACACACACACGCACGCGCACGCACACGCACGCACACGCACGCACGAACACGCACGCACGCACGCACACGCACACCCGCACGCACTCCCGCACGCACACCCATACATCCACGCAAACACGCACACACACACACACACACACACACGCGCGCGCGCGCACGCGCGCACGCACGCACGCACGCACGCACGCCGCACGCACGCACACGCACGCACACGCACACGCACGCATGCACCCGCACACCCGCACGCACACCCGCACGCACACCCACAAGCACACCCACACACCCACACAGAGACACACACACACACACGCGCAAGCACGCACGCACGCACGCACGCACGCACGCACGCGCACACACCACACACACATACACACACACACATTCACACACACACACACACGCACACACACACACACACACACACACACACACACACACACACACACACACACACACACACACACGCAAATGCACGCACACACACACATACACACACACGCACGCACGCACGCACGCACGCACGCACGCACGCCGGCACGCACGCACGCACGCACGCAGGCACGCACGCACGCACGCACTCGCGAACTCACACACACACACACTCTCACACACACACACACGCACACGCATACCCATAGAGATAAACATGGTAAGGGCCGCTCAGTGATCTGCCTTTCTCTTTTCCTGGCGTTCGGAATGGTTAGAGAAAGGGTTTCATTCTATACAACACACAAAGAAGCAACTCAGATGCCTCCACACAAATGATTCCATTTGAAAGGCAACCAACAGGATTGCTTAAAATTCTTCTGTAGCGCATCACAAAAAGGATTCCTACTGTATCCCAGGCAATCGGAATCCTTGTGTAAACATGTACAAAAGGATTCCTAGTGAACGCCATCCAATAGGACTCCTTCTGGAGGCAACATAAAAGGAATCTTTTTGTAGGGCATTACAAAAGGGTTCCTATTGTATCCCAGGCAATAGGAATCCAATTATCCCAGGCAGTTGTATCCCAGGCAGTATACACAAATCCCAGGACTCCCCATAATTTCCCATATTCTCTGGAATTTCGTCTTCCCCTCCCACTGTCCATATTTTCCTATATTTTCCTGAGAGTCGACGTTTAAGTGTCTGCGTGTTTTTTGACCTCCTGACTGAGCCCCATTACGTGCGCCCCGAATGCCACTGGTTGGGGTCACGCCGGGCTGGTACGTGTATATACAGTGGTTCGTGCTTCAGGAAGGGACGACGAGCAACCAGACTCGTGATGCTCGACGTCCCTTCCGCCCTCTCTCTCTCTCTCTCTTTCTTTCGGCACCCTCTCTCCCTCTTTCTTTCGGCACAGCCTGGAGCGCCCCTGGCGCTGGCAGATGGGCAGAGCCCTGGAGAGGTGCGATCTGCAGCCTCCTGCGCCTGGAGTTTGCACCGGGTCCAGGGAGACGTCTGGCACCTGACTGCCAGAGCGATCGCCTCCATAGCAGAAGAGGCCTCGTCGCCCGTCGCAGGAGAGGAAGAAAAACGGCATGAACCTAAACTGTTGGCGTTCCGCGCGGATTTCTTGGATCTGCGCTGGGCTCCCTGGCGCGCAAAACGCGCCAGGGGCGGCCGCCGCCAGGGGGGGCCCAGCGCGGATCCAAGAAGTCCGCGCGGAACGCCAAACAAGTCCATGCCTATGCCGTTTTTTATTATTCGACTGCCGCCACCGCTGCCCGCGTTGTCGCCGACGCCTTCGCCATCACAGCCGCCGGCAGCGTCCGCGTCGGCACCGTCGTCTGTGTTTCGACGCCGCCCGCGGAGGCCATCGGGCGGAAGTACACGCCCCGGTGCACCACGCCGCCAGCGCCCACGACGCCGCTGCCCACAGGGACGCTGCTGGCCATGCTGGACTGTGGGGAGCGGGCAGGCACTCTCTTTCTGGGAGGAGCGGAGGGCTCGCGCTCCCCTAGCTTCGGCCTCCTCGCCGCCTCTTGGCTTCGGGCAGCTCCTGGAGGAGCTCCACGAACCTCTGGCGGGGAGGACCTGGGGAAACCGAAAGGTCCAGATACCGCTACTCCCCGAACCTCTCCTGGGGTGCGTTCTGACCAGAAATTTGAGGCGAATCCAGCGGTGGCAACGAGGGCCTCCCAGGAGGCCCAAGAAGGCGAAATCGAGGGAAGGGTAGAGGTATGGGTACCTCTTCCTCCTCCGAGAACCGAGCGCGACCACCCTTGCTCAAGGCAGCGATGCGAGGCGAGGGCGACCAGCCCTCTCCTCGAGCAACAACGAGGCGGCAGCTGCCAGGCGAATCGAAGGGTCGCCACGCGCAGCTACCAGAGACCCCAGCTGGGCCGTGAGAGACGGGGGGGCGGAGGAGCAAGAGGAGGAGGAGGAGGAGGAGGAGGAGGAGGAGGAAGAGGAGGAGGAGGAGGAGGAGGAGGAGGAGGAGGAGGAAGAGGAGGAGGAGGAGGAGGAGGAGGAAGGGGGACCCTCCTCGCCGTAGCCCCAGGAGCAGCCAGCTTCGAGTCGCGGAATCGGATCGGACCAAGCCAGGGCTGGACCTGAACGTTGTTTTTCGTTGTGTTCTCGTTTTGTTGTTCGTTTTGCTCTACCCGTTTCCCTGCACCTCCCTCCCATAACGAAAAACAACATACAGCCGACGTCCAGCAAAACAGCGTTTAGGTCCAGCCCTGGACCAAACCTACCATCGAATCGAGCTGGTATCGACACGGGGTCGGGATCGAAACGAATCCGCCGCGCCGGGATGCGCAACAACGCCACGGAAGCGTCGGGACCCATCGGATCGTCGGAATACAGTCGGCCCGTGTCAGAAGGATGCGCGATAAGAACGCAAGGGCGTTGGACGCCCATTTCGAAGCTTCTCGAGCGGGGCGAGGCCCACGAAAGCGGCCAAGGATGAGTCGAGGAGGCAAGTATGCAAGGCTACCCTTGGGGAAGGTTGCCCATCCCCCTAATATGCGGGTCGACTGTGCTATACGTCCTCCTTGGGGGCGCGCGTCCGACCCGAACATGTATAGCATACCCATCTTTTGGTACATCTTTTTCCGAGCGGTGTGGCCAGAAAGCGCCCGCCACGACGCACATACTATAAGATGTCTCGGTGCGCGCGTCGCCCCTGGGGAGGCGTCGCGCACATAGCACTAGTATTAGGTCGGGCGTGTCCCCCTAAAGGCGGATCTTGGACGACAAATAAAACATACCAAAGACATGTTCAACAATACTTACAAATAGTCAAAACATAGTCCACAGACTATGGTTTGCCTAGAGGGACAGGCCCGACTTAAGAGAGTATGTTGGGGTGACGCCGACATCAGGGCCCGGAGCAGGACAACAAACTGTGCTATAAACATCGAAAGACAACTCGGACGCCCGCGCGAACTCCTCGGATCGGCGCTGGGGCCTCCCGGCGGCGCTTCTGGTGCCGCACCTGGCGCCAGCTCCGCCTGCCTGGGAGCGGGGTCCAGAGTCGATCCGAGAAATCCGCGCGGACCTCCGAGTTGTCATGCTTATGTCATTGGTCACTTCCCTGACAAGGACATGGAGGCACTGCTGTGGCGCACGTGCTATGAACCCAAGTAGGGAGAAGATGCCGTGCACCGCAGCTGGCCCCACCAGGAACGATGCACAGGGAACGAAGCCCCTCTTCTGCCCCCGGAAGCGCCTGGGCGCACGGGGAGCGCTGGAGGGTCAACTTTTGGGATGGAATATTTGAAGAACCTCGGAAAACCATGGAATGCTTGAAAACCTAGGAAAGCCTGGAAAAACATGGAAACCCACTGAAAAACATGCACCACATGTTTGGACATGTAAGCGCTTGGAGGATCCACCATGGAAAAACCTGCATAAACATACGCTGTTGGATGTCCGCACGGGTTTATTGGATCTGCGCTACACCTCCGGGGGCGGCGCCGGAGGCGCCGCCAGTGGGGTCCAGCGCAGATCCAGGAAATCCGCCCGGTGATCCAACAGTTTATGGTTATGGCGCTTTGTTCTTTGTTGGACCTAGGGAGCAGTGAGGTCCTTCCGAACCCGAGCCCTACCTCCACCTTCTCTGAAGTCCGCGCCGGCTTCTCGAATCGGCGCAGGGGCGGGCGTCAGAGGCGCCGCCAGGGGCCCCGGCAAGGATCCGAGACATCTGCGCAAACCTCTGAGAGAAATGATGTCTGTGCCGCGATGTGCTTTCGAACGCTCACTCGGGTCTGCCTCTGCCTCTGACGCGTACCGCGGCTCCCGGACGGCAGGCGTGCGGCCGTGTGCATGCGCGAGCCTGCCGTCGCCCTGCCCTGCCAACTTGGACATGCTGCCGTGTCGCGGGCGCTTGCCTCCGCTTGCCTGGCGAGGTGTGTCACGCCTGCCAAATCGCCCACACCAGCTCTTCGGCTACTCGATCGCCCGCACCAGCTCCGAGGCGCGTGATACAAGCACTGACCCAGAGGCACGACTTGCAAAGGTGGCTGGCTCATTTGGGAGCCCACGTCTAGTTCAAAACACGTTCTGCAGATGCCGAGAAGCTACGTCCAACCAATGCAAGGGAGCGACGAGCAAAGGGAACCGAACAACGCTGTCACGGGGCAGGCAAACGAAAAAACAAATGCGGTCCTGCAGATAGTCGGAAGGCGAAGATCTGCTGAGTACATCGGCTGTCATGGCCGGCGTCCTGCACAACCAAAGGCGGGGAGGCACCATAGGGCAAGAGTGTCAGGTCGGGCTTGTCCTCCTGTAGAGGGACAGGTCCGACTTAGCAAGAGTGTGCTGAAACTGCGCAGCCAATCGTCCTGATGCCTCTACTACGTTGAATGCGGCAACCCGCGGCACCATCGTTTGTGTGGATGAAGCGTCGCATATTGTTTTGTCGTCTCAGAACCCGAACGCGGTCTCCTGCTGTTCAACTCACACAAAGCATTCGCAACATTGCTGGACAGTGGATTTCGGGGTATATCGAACTGGCCACGCTTTATGTCAACACGATGGTGGTCCCGCCGAGTCGGACATGAAGAACGTACACGAACGATCTGACAAAATTCCTGTAGCATGCCATTGCCCATGAATGCGCTGAAGGGTAGACTCGCTGACGACCCCATCTGCCTCCCACATTATCCGCCTGATATTGTTTCCCGTCACCTCACCTTGTACTTCAGCTGACCTTGGCGGCGCGCAGAGAGGTGCAGGAGGAGAGGGGGAAGGCCTCTTAGCAAGGGGCTGCTTCTCAGAAGGCGCCGGCATTACATGTGTGGAGAAGGCCCGCGCCTTCTAAGAAGCAGGGGTGCTTCTAAGAAGCCTCCCCCCCGCCCCCATTACTCGGCGGTGGACAAACCTCCCTTTAGTGGACCTCCCCTTAGTGAAAACGGCCTGGGACCGAAACCGACGGACCTGGACCTGCAAAAATGACGGCCGCGACGCCCTCTCGCCAACCGAAAACGGCCAATCCCTCAATCGACGTGTCAGGGTAGGAGGTCTGTCCACCCCCGAATTACCCCCCTCTGCGCGTGGCCGAGGACCACCTCACCAGTCCTGGTGGGGCCCATCCTGGGCCCAGGATCGGTCTGCAGGCCGCGGCCGCGACCACAGATACCGGTGCGACTCGATGCGGGGTCCGGGCGGTGGGCCTGGCCAGGCTCGGCGAGGTGGTTGGTCCGCACCCCCCGAACCCCCCCCTACCCAAGAGGCCCAAAGACGGCACCAAAAGGGGCCCAAGAGAGAGGACACGGGTCGAAAATCCGAGCCCTCCGCGCAAAGAGGCCCCCAGGAGGCCCCAAGAGGCGACCAGAAGGTCCCACAAGGCCCCGACAGGCCCCCAAGAGTCCCAAAAGAAACCCCAAGAGGCTCTAAAATGGCCCCCTAAGAGGCGTCCAAACTCAAGAGGCACCCGAGAGGCTCCCCACGAGATCACAACGAACATCCAATAGACTTCATAACCACAATCCAGGCACGGTGGCGGGATGCACCGAAGGCCATTCGATCCGCCGCCCCCTGTGGTCTTGCCACAGGGATGCCTGGCGTGCTGAACCCTATACGGTTTGGTTTTGGTTCTTTGTCCAAAAGAACTCCGCCTGGGGCTTCGGCCCGTCCCGCCAGCGGCATGAGCTGGTTTCGCCAGCGCTGGTTTTGCCGGCGCTGGTTTCGCCCCGCTGGTTTCGCCGACGCCTGGTTTCGCCAGCGCTGGTTTCGCCCCGCTGGTATCGCCCTGCTTGTTTCGCCGGCGGCTGGTTTTGCCGGCACTGGTTTCGCTGGCGCTGGTGTTGCCTACGCCATCGTCGCCGCGGGCGGGCGGACCCGAGCGGGCGGGTCGGGTCGGGTCGGGCGGGCGGACCCTGAAGGGCGGGTCGGGTCGGGCGGGCGGGACATCAAAGTGTGGGGCACGCTCGACCGAGCACGCGCGAACCCTGACAGGTGGGTCGGGTCGCGTGGGCGGACCCTAGCGGGCGGGTCGGGTCGGGTCGGGCGGGCGGACCCTGACGGGCGAGTCGGGTCGGTCGGGCGGGCGGGACATTGAAGTGTGGGGTGCGCTCGACCGAGCACACGCGAACCCTAACTGGCGGGTCGGGCGGGGCGAGCGGACCCTAGCGGGCGGGACGGGGCGGGTCGCGCGGGCGGACCCTAATGGCCGGGTCGGGCGAGCGTGACATTAAAGTGTGGGGCGAGCCCGACCGAGCACGCGCGAACCCTAACGGGCGGGTCGGGTCGGGCGGGCGGACCCTAGCGGGCGGTCGGGTCGGGTCGGGCGGGCGGACCCTAACGGGCGGGTCGGGCGGGCGGGCGGGACATAGGGTGCGGGCGGGGGGTCGGGCGGTTCTAGCGGGCGGAGCGGACCTAGCGGGGCGGGACGGGTCGGGTCGGGTGGGCGGACGGGGCGTGTCGGGTCGGGCGGGCGGGACATTAAAGTGTGGGGCACGCTCGACCGAGCACGCGCGAACCTAACGGGCGGGTCGGGTCGGCGGGCGGGACCCTACCGGGCAGGTCGGGCGGGAAATCAAAGTGTGGGGGCGCTCGACCGAGCACGCCCGAACCCTAACGGGCGGGGTCGGTCGGGCGGGCGGACCCTAGCGGGCGGGTCGGGTCGGGGGCGGGCCCAAACGGGCGGGTCGGGTCGGCGGGCGGGACATTAGGGTCGGGTCGGGCGGGCGGACCCTAGCGGGCGGGGTGGGTCGGGTCGGGCGGGCGGACCCTAGCGGGCGGGGTGGGTCGGGTCGGGCGGGCAGACCCAAGCGGGCGGGTCGGGGCGGGTCGGGCGGGGCGGACCCTAGCGGGCGGGTCGGGTCGGGCCGGGCGGGCGGACCCTAACGGGCGTGTCGGGTCGGGCGAGCGGGACGTTTAAGTGTGGGGCACGCTCGACCGAGCACGCGCGAACCCTAACGGGCGGGTCGGGTCGGGCGGGCGGACCCTGGCGGGCGGGTCGGGTCGGGTCGGGCGGGCGGACCGGGGGGCGGGCGGGACATAACGGCTCGGGGGGCGGGCGGACCCTAGCGGGCGGGTCGGGTCGGGTGGGCGGGCGGACCTCACGGGTGTCGGGTCGGGCGGGCGGGACATTAAAGTGTGGGGCACGCTCGACCGAGCCACGCGCGAACCCTAACGGGGCGGTTCGGTCGGGGGGGACCCTACCGGGCAGGTCGGGGCGGGCGGGCGGGAAATCAAAGTGTGGGGTGCGCTCGACCGAGCACGCCCGAACCCTAACGGGCGGGTCGGATCGGGCGGGCGGACCCTAGCGGGCGGGTCGGGTCGGGCGGGCGGACCCAAACGGGCGGGTCGGGTCGGGCGGGCGGGACATTAGGGTCGGGTCGGGCGGGCGGACCCTAGCGGGCGGGGTGGGTCGGGTCGGGCGGGGCGGACCCTAGCGGGCGGGGTGGGTCGGGTCGGGCGGGCAGACCCAAGCGGGCGGGTCGGGGCGGGTCGGGCGGGGCGGACCCTAGCGGGCGGGTCGGGTCGGGCCGGGCGGGCGGACCCTAACGGGCGTGTCGGGTCGGGCGAGCGGGACGTTTAAGTGTGGGGCACGCTCGACCGAGCACGCGCGAACCCTAACGGGCGGGTCGGGTCGGGCGTGCGGACCCTAGCGGGCGGGTCGGGGCGGGCGGGCGGGAAATGAAAGTGTGGGGTGCGCTCGACCGACCACGCGCGAACCCTAACGGGCGGGTCGGGTCGGGCGGGCGGACCCTAGCGGGCGGGTCGGGTAAGGCAGTTTCGCCGACGAGAGCTGGTTTCGCCGAAGGCTGGATTCGCTGACGGAGCTGGTTTCGCCGACGGAGCTGGCTTCGCCACGCGGCGAAACCAGCCGGGCGAAACCAGCCGTCGGCGAAACCAGCGATCGCCCCGCCGGCCACCAGGAAGGGACCGACAATAACCTCCACGTTCCCAAAAACATCTCCAAGACGGCCCAATATGGCCTCCAGGACGGCCAAGATGGCCTCCAAGTTCGCCCAAGATGGTCCAAGATGGCCTTCAACACGGCCCACGAGAGTCCAAGATGCCTCCAAGTTCGCCCAAGAAGCCTCCAAGACGGCCCAGGCTGGCTCTAGGATGACCCAAGACGCTCCGAGACGGCCCCAAGAGGCCTCCAAGACGATCAAAGAGGCCTCCAAGAGGTCCTCCAGGAAGGCCCGAAGAGACACAAATCTATGATTTTCCGTAGGTTGTTGAAGGATTGTTACATTGACTTCTTTTCGGCCTTCCGACGGCCCGAGATCGCCCAAGAGGCCCCCATGATCGTCCCACGATCGCCCAAGAGGCCCCCAATGTGGCCCCAGAACGGCCCAAGAGGCCCCCAACAAGGCCCCAAGAGGACCCCAAGAGGCATCCAAGACGCCCAAGATGGCCTCCAAGACGGCCTTGGAGCACCCCAAAAGGGTCCAAAGTCGGCCCAGAGAGGCCCCCAAAACGGCTTCCGAAGGCGCCAGACGGGCCAGGAGGCGATGGATCAAGATGGCTCAGGACGGCCAAGAGGCCCCCAAGAGGTCCCCCAGACGGCACAAGAGGCCTTCTCCGAAGGGTTTCCACAACGGCTGGGGAAACACATGGTCCGATCGCTTGGCATAGCTCTTGCCACAACGCTCGGCCACATGGGCCACTCCAAAGGCTGGGGGCGGCGGTGATTCGCCGTAAGCGTCTTCGATCCGCCGCCCACTGTGCTTGTCCCAGGCTGTGCCTGGCGTGCTGAACCCTACACGGTTTGATTTTGGTTATTTTTCCAAAAGAACTCCCCCTGGGGCTTCGGCACAGCGCGCTGGCCACCGGGAAGGCCGCACAAACGACCTCAACGACTGCAACAAGTCCCCCAAGACGGCCCAAGAAGGCCTCCAGGACGGCAAAGATGGCCCAAGATGGCCTCCAAAACGGCCAAGATGGTCCAAGATGGCTTCCAATACAGCTCAGAGAGGGTCCAAGATGCCTCCAAGTCCGCCCAAGAAGCCTCCAGGACGGCCTAAGATGGCATCAAGATGGCCCAAGACGGCCAAAGAGGCCCCCAAGACGGTCCAAGAGGCCTCCAAGAGGTCCTCCTGGAAGGCCCGAAGAGGTCAAAATAATTGATTGCCCATAGGTTTGTGAAGGATTTTGGCATTTGCTTATTTTCGGTCTTCCGACGGCCCGAGACTGCCCCGGAGCACCCGAAGATCGCCCCACGATCGCCCAAGAGGCCCCCAATGTGGCCCCAGAACGGCCCAAGAGGCCCCCAAAACGGCCCAAGGGGAGCTCCAAAACGGCCCAAGAGGAAGACGCCCAGGATGGCTCCCAAGACGGCTCTGGAGCACCCCAAGAAGAACTCAAGTCGGCCCATATAGGCTTCCAAGATGGCCTCCGACGGCGTCAGACGGGCCAGGAATGCCCCAAGACGGCCAAAGAGGCCCCCGAGAAGCTCCCCAAGGCCCCTAAGGGCCCAAGGAGGCCCGCAAGATGCCTCCAAGAGGCTCCCAGGAAGCTCCCAGGAGGCCCCAAGAGTGCCGCCAGAGGCTCACAAGATGCCCCCTCCTCCATCCCTTTTCCTTATATATATATATATATATATATATAATTTATCCCTGTCGCACCCCGAGGCCAGTTTTTAGGGCGGGCCCAGCGTTTCGCCTGAGACTTCCTCACCAATTATGGCCCTGAAGCATTAAAAGTGACAAGAGTTTCACACATTTGGCGCAGGTGGTTTAAAACATGTGGTTCTCGCTTAGCGCCGCGCACGTTCGTCTTAAAACACTGCCACAGCTTCACGGATTGAGGGCGGGTCGTTCCCAGAATGTGGCTCTCGCCGTAGCGCCGCGTACGTTCGCTTAAACACTTGCAAGGTGTTGCTCTCGCCTTAGCGCCGCCCACATTCGTTTTAGCATTTGCAAGACCTTCACGGATTCAGGGCGGGTGGTGTTTAACATGTGGGTCTCGCCGTAGCGCCGCGCACATTCGTCTTAATTGAAAGAACTTCACGGATTCAGGGCGGATGGTTTTCAAACTGCGGTTCTCGCCTTAACGCCGCGCGCATTCGTTTAAACAATTCGCAAGGGCTTCATGGATCGAGCGCGGCTCTTTTTCAAAATGTGGCTCTCGCCCTAGCGGCTCTAGCGCCGCGCACATTCGTTCATACAATCTTGAAAAGTTGCACGGGTCCCCATGATCAACGCACTAGAACTGGCGTTTTGGAAACATGCAGGATTCGCGGAGTTGAAGTTCCACAAATGGCGTTCTGGCACGATTCCGGATCGCCAAGATGCAGCAGTCAGGTTGATCCGTGGCGTTGAAATCCAGAGAACAATGTTCTGGCATGCGTCAGGGTCTTCAAACGGTTGTCTTCCAACGAGGCAGTTCCCTCCATGAAAATGAACCTTTGCAGGGGCCTATGAAGAGGGACCTTGGAGGGAGGTTTTATTCCAACATCTTTGATGATTCTTGGGTTTGCACTGGTCCTCCTCCTCCTCCTCCTCCTCCTCTTCCTCCTCCCGATCTTCCCAGCCATCCTCCCCCAATTGTTCCCAGAAGGGTTTCCACATCGGCTGGGGGAACACATGGTCCGATAGCTTGGCAAAGCTCTTGCCACAACGCTCGGCCACATGGGCCATTCCAAAAGCCAGGGGCCCGCGGTGACTCGCCATAGGCGTCGTCGATGGGACACGGGTGCCGGCGTCAGTCCCCAGTGCTTCGCAACTCCTCCTCTTCATCCTCGTCCTTTTTCTCTCCTTCTCCTCATCCTCCTCCTCCTCCTCCTCCTCTTCCTTCTCCTCCTCTTCCTCCTCCTCCTCGTCCTCCTCCTCGTCGTCCTCCTCCTCGTCATTTTCCTCCTCCTCCTCCTCCTCCTCCTCCTCCTCGTCCTCCCCACCTGGCCAGGCGGGCGCAGCGCGGGGTCCTGTGCGGCGACGAGATGGCCGTCTGTGCGGGCAGGAGCGGGGGGGCGCTCCTCCTCCTCCTCCTCCTCTTCCTCCTCGTCCTCCTCCTCCTCCTCGTCCTCCTCTTCCTAGTCCTCTTCCTGCTCCTCCTCCTCCTCCTCGTCCTCCTCGTCCTTGTTTTCGTCCTCGTCCTCGTCCTCCTCGTCCTCCTCATCATCCGTTCCTTTTCCATATAAATCGTTTCTCCCTGTCGCACCCCGAGGCCACTTCTTAGGGCGGTCCGGGCGTTTCGCCTGAGACCTCCTCACCATGTATGACCCTGAAGCTTAAACATTGACAACAGCTTCACAAATGGAGGGCGGGTCGTTTTCAAGATGTGGATTTCGCCTTGGCGCCGCGCACACTCGTTTTTAATATTTGCAAGAACTTCATAGATTGAAGGCAGCCCGTGTTCAAAATGTTGCTCTCGCCTCGGCGCTGCGCACATTCGTTCAAATAATTTGCTAAAGTGTCACGGATTCAAAGCGGCTCCTTCTCAAAATGTGGCTCTCGCCTCAGCGCCGCGCACATTGGCTTGTAAAATTTGAAAGTGTTTCATGGATCGAAGGCGGTTGCTTTCCAAGATGTGGCTCTCGCCTTAGCGCCGCGCAAATTCGTCTCTTATTTGTAAAGAAAATCCCAGAACTTCACGGGTTCCCATGATCAGCGTACCAGAAATATTGTTTGGAAAGATTCAGAATTATGACGGAGCAACAGTTCGGTTGACTCGCGGTGTTGCAGTCTCAGGAATAGCTTCCTGGCACGTTTCAAGATCGTCAAGACGCAGCAGTCAGGTTAATCCGTGGCGTTGGAATCCCGAGAACAATGTTTTGGCATGCGTCAGGGTCTTCAAACGATTGTCTTCCAACGAGGCAGTTCCCTCAGTGGAAATGAACCCTTGTAAGGACCTGTGGGGAGGGAGCTTGGGGTGAGGTTTTATTCCAACATCTTTGATGATTATTGGGTTTGCACTGGTCCTCCTCCTCTTCCTCCTCCTCGTCCTCCTCCTCCTCCTCCTCCACCTCTTCCTCCTCCTCCTCCGCCTCCTCCTCCTCTTTCTCCTCTATATAGCATTATCATATTCCTTCTGCCGCGGCGCGCGGTCCAGAAGCTCTGTGAAAGGTCAGGTGTTGTTCTTTACCCAACAGCTTTTGCTGATAGGTTTCTAGTGGGCTCAAAAAAACCCATCTTGACGCCCCAGGGGGGTCTGGGCGGGATCCGGACAGATCCGGACAAAAGGGTCAGCCCCATTAATCCTTAGGAATCCTTAAAAATTCCTTGGGAATCCATTCCCAGAACACCATTCCCAGGCCACATTTTGAATGCCCGGAGCCAACTGTAAGCCACTTCGTGTTCTTCGTGTTCCCAGAACACCACTCCCAGGCCACATTTTGAATGCCCGGAACCAGCTGTAGGCCACTTCGTATTCTTCGTCTTCCCAGAACACCATTCCCAGGCCACGTTTTGAATGCCCGGAGCCAACTGTAGGCCACTTCGTGGTCTTCGTCTTCCCAGAACACCATTCCCAGGCCACATTTTGAATGCCCGGAGCCAACTGTAGGCCACTTCGTGTTCTTCGTGTTCCCAGAACACAATGGCCAAGCTACATTTTGAATGCCCGGAGCAACTGTAGGCTTCCTCGTGTTCCCGAACACCATTCCTGTACCATATTTTGGTTGCCCGGACCCAACTGTGGGCCACTTTGTAATCTTCGTGTTCCCAGAACACAAGTCCTGTGTCATATTTTGAATGCCCGAGCTGGGGCAGGCTGAGGCTGAGGCAGGCTGAAGCCGAGGCAGGCTGAGGCTGAGGCAGGCTGAGGCTGAGGCTGAGGCACGCCGAGGCAGGCTGAGGCTAAGGCTAAGGCAGGCTGAGGCTGAGCCAGGCTGAGGCTGAGGCTGAGGCTGACGCAGGCTGAGGCCGAGGCAGGCTGAGGCTGAGGCTGAGGCAGGCTGAGGCTGAGGCAGGCTGAGACTGAGGCTGAGGCAGGCTGAGGCTGAGTCTGATGCAGGCTGAGGCTGAGAGGCTGACGCTGAGGCTGAGGCAGGCTGAGGCTGAGGCTGAGGCCGAGGCAGGCTGAGGCAAGCTGAAGCAAGCCGAGGCAGGCTGAGGCTGAGGCTGAAGCTGAGGCAGGCTGAGGCTGAGGCTAAGGCTGTGGCTGAGGCTGTGGCTGAGGCTGAGGCAAGCTGCGGCTGAGGCAGGCTGAGGCTGAGGCTGATACAGGCTGAGGCTGAGGCCGAGGCAGGCTGAGGCTGAGGCCGAGGCAAGCCGAGGCAGGCTGAGGCTGAGGCTGAGGCTGCTGAGGCAGGCTGAGGCTGAGACAGGCTGAGGCTGAGGCTGAGGCAGGCTGAGGCTGAGGCAGGCTGAGGCTGAGGCCGAGGCAGGCTCAGGAGGCTGAGGCAGGCTGAGGCTGAGGCTGAGGAGGCTGAGGCAGGCTGAGGCTGAGGCTGAGGCAGGCTGAGGCTGAGGGCTGGCTGAGGCTGAGGCAGGCTGAGGCTGAGGCTGAGCTGAGGCTGAGGCTGAGGCTGAGGCTGAGGCTGAGGCTGAGGCTGAGGCTGAGGCTGAGGCTGAGGCAGGCTGAGGCTGAGGCTGAGGCTGAGGCTGAGGCAGGCTGAGGCTGAGGCTGCAGGCTGAGGCTGAGGGCTGAGGCTGAGGCAGGCTGAGGCTGAGGCTGAGGCCGAGGCAGGCTGAGGCTGAGGCTGAGGCAAGCCGAGGCAGGCTGAGGCTGAGGCTGAAGCTGAGGCTGAGGCTGAGGCTGAGGCAAGCTGCGGCTGAGGCAGGCTGAGGCTGAGGCTGATGCAGGCTGAGGCTGAGGCAGGCTGAGGCTGAGGCTGAGGCAGGCTGAGGCTGAGGCTGAGGCCGATGCAGGCTGAGGCTGAGGCCGAGGCAAGCCGAGGCAGGCTGAGGCTGAGGCTGAGGCTGAGGCTGATGCTGAGGCTGAGGCTGAGACAGGCTGAGGCTGAGGCTGAGGCAGGCTGAGGCTGAGGCAGGCTGAGGTGAGGCTGAGGCCGAGGCAGGCGAATCCTTCGGAATCCTTAGGATTCCCTAGGAATCCTTAGGAATCCCTAGGAATCCCTAGGAATCAGGATTCCTAAGGATTCCCAAGGTTTCCTAAGGTTTCCTATGGATTCCTAAGGATGCCTAAGGATGCCTTAGGAATCCCTAGGAATCCTTAGGATTCCATTGGATCCTAAGGCCGTTGCCACTGCGAATGCGACTGCGAATGCGAGAACAGCATAATTCTACAACTGGATTCTCACCTGAATCTAAAGGGGAATGCTTCCAGATATGCTTATACACATCGCTGTTAGGTTGCTTTGCCGGGATAGTTTTCAAGATTTCGACATTGGGTGCCCGCGATACCCACAAGTGCCTCGCACCTCCCCCTCTTCCTTCTCCCCCTCCTCCTCCTCCTCCTCCTCCTCCTCCTCCTCCTCCTCCTCCTCATCATCATCATCATCATCATCATCATCATCATCATCATCATCATCATCATCATCATCATCATCATCATCCTCATCTTTCTCGTCGTCCTCCTCCCCCTCCTCCTTCTCCTCCTCCTCCTCCTCCTCCTCCTCCTCCTCCTCCTCCTTCGAGGGAGACCTCGACAGCGAGCCCGAAGGGGACGTGAGAGGGGGCGGGCCTTCTCAGAAGGCGGCGGGGCCTCTCAGCAGCCCTCGCGCCTTCCAAGAAGCTCTCTGGGCGGTCTCTGCAGCCCGCGGGCAGCTCCTCACAGGGCGCGGGGGAGGAGGCCTGCTCCCTCTCGCTTCCCCCCCCATGGGCTCGCCGCCGCAAGAAAACGGCTGGAAGGAGACCCGCTCAGGGCGGGGAAGGCCTCGAGCCGGAGACCGGTGACGTGTGGCCGACAGGTCGACGACGGGCCCCCGCCGGCGAGTCCGTGGTGTGCCCGGGCGGGCTGGGCCATCGGCCCCCCCCCGTCGGCGATCAGAGGGCGCTCGCGGGTCGATGCGCTGCCCCCGGGGGCCCATCGTCGGGGGGGGGCGAGCAAGGGCATGGACATCAAAGCCCGGAGGTCCGCGCGGACCTCTCGGATCGGCGCTGGAGCCCCCTGGCGGCGCCTCCGGCGCCGCCCCTGGCGCGCCCCGCGCGCCAAGGAGATGGGTCCAACGCCGATCCGAGAAGTCCGTGCGGACCTCCAAGTTTTCATGTTTCTGTCATTGCTTGTTCCCTAATCAATCTCACCTGGGACGAGGGCAGGACGCGGATGAGCTCAAGCGGGGAGAGCAATAGATTAGGTCGGGCGTGTCCTCCTACAGGCGGATTTTGGACGAAAAATTGAAGATACATCAAACATTCTCAAACACATTCAAACATTCATAAAACATCGCCCCCAGACTATGTTTGACAATTTTTTGAACATTCCTCCTGCAGAGGGACGAGCCCGACTTAACAATAGATCTGGAGTCCCTGAGAGCCAGCGGGTCCGCAGGGTGCCTCGGGCGCCGCGGCTCCTCGAGGAAGAGAGCGACTCGACCAGAAGAGAAGACTCGGCATGCACCTAAGCTTTTGGCGCTCCGCGCGGACTTCTCGGATCCGCGCTGAACCCCCCGCGCGCCAGGGACGGCGCCGGAGGCGCCGTGGAAGGGGCCCAGCGCGGAGCCGAGAAATCCGCGCGGAGCACCAAAAGCTTCTGTTTGTGGCGTTTTCTTCGGCAGTGGACAAGCCTCAATTTCGTAAACCACCCTTGAGTGAAAACGGCATAGGAAAACCGCCCTTTAGTAAACCACCATTTTTTGAAGACATCAGAGCGCCAAAAGCTTCGATGAAAGCGGGCGCGTCTGCAGGGTGCCTCTCGGGCGCCGCGGCTCCTCGACGAAGAGGGAAAAAACTGCACGGCGGGCACAAGGCGGGGGCCGGGGCCTCCCGAGAACGCGGGGGGCCTGCCGGCCCTTCCAAGAAGTGGGGGGCTTGTTTTCCACCGCCACCACCAGAAGTAGGAGGGGGAGGGGGTTCCTCCTCCTCCTCCTCCTCCTCCTCCACCTCCTCTTCCTCCTCTTCTTCCTCCTCCTCCTCCTCCTATTCCTCCTCCTCCTCCTATTCCTCCTCCTCCTCCTCCTCCTCCTCCTCCTCCTCCTCCTCCTCCTCCTCCTCGTCCCCCCCTCCAACTTCTGGCGGTGGTGGAAAACGGGCCCCTCCAGGAGGGCCCCTGCCCTCCGAGAGGCCCCCCCGCCGCCTCCGACGGCCGCCCCCGCCGCGGGCCCCCCCCCCCCCCGGGGGGGCCGCCGCCAGGCTGCGGGCCCGACACCGGCGAGCATCGGAGAGTACCAAAGAGTTCGAGTGGGGGATCGACTGCAGACTTGATCTGCCCCAGAGTTGATGTTCCGCCGAAGCCACTCTACGAGAAAGACGCAGAGAAGGCTCCGCAGATCTACAGAGCAGTTTTGCGCAGTCGTCGTAGATTCGACGGGCAGATCAATTCTGGGGAAAATCGATTATGCAGTCGATCCCCCACTCGAAGAGTACAAACTGTCGGCGGCGAGCCCAGGGGGGAACCGAGAAGGAGAAGGCCTTCTCAGTCGGGGATCTTCTGCCCCTGGTCAATCGAGCCTGGCAGAATCCTGCAAGATATCCTGGGAGATCCTGCAGGATCCTGCACCCAAAGCTGGGTCAATGCGACCCTGGCCCTGCAGGATCCTGCAAGATCTGGCGCTCTGGCTGACCCCCGTTTGCATTAACCCCCGTCTCAAGGCTCCCGATCTCAGAAGGCTCGGAACCCCCCAGGACTTCTGAACAGGTTCGAGCATTCCCCGAAGACGAGCAAACAACTTCTCAGAAGGCGCGAGAGCATTTGATAACTCCCGCCGCCTTCTGAGAAGGCCTCGCTCGCCGCCGAAAATACCATAAACATGCACTTTCGGATGTCCGCGCGGAGTTCCCGGATCGGCGCTGGTTCCAGCCCTGGCGGCGCTCCCGGCGCCCCAGGGAGGTCTTCCAAGGCCATCATGTGGACGCCCATCATGTGGTGCTGAGAAAGATGGGTACTATGCAGAACACCAAACGTTGACCAGAACCGACAGCGGCTGCTGTGGGGCGGGCGACTTTTGTCCAGAGCGGACAACGTCAGAGGCGACACCAACATTGACGCCTGTTCCAAAGGGGCACGATGCACTGTTGGTCTTCGTCCCCGTCCTTTCCCGAGCTGAGCACGAAGCGGGATTAAGCCAGATTGATGTCGTCGTCGGCGGCGGCGGCGGCGGCCCTCTCAGGAGAGGGAGGCAAGGGCAATCATTTCGAGGCAGGTCCAGACGTGGCCAGGAAAGCCCCAAACGTCAACGAAAGGCTCCCGAACCCCTTGGAGCCGAACCTCGCGGGGCCGCGGCCCTGGTCCTCGCTCCTTCCTCTTAGATTCCCCCCTTCCTCTTCGTCTTCTTCTCCCTCTTCCTCCTCCTCCTTTTGTTCCAACTGGGCCGTCGCTTACGCAGACGGGGCGCCCAACGTCGCTAATCGCGCCGAACCGGACCAATTTGACCGAGTCGAACCAAACCGTCAAACGAACCGAACCGAACCAGGGGGACCGAACCGAGGGTGGGACCGAACCGAAGCGGTGGGACCAAACCGGTGAGACCGAACCGAACCGAATCGGAACCAGACCCAAACCGGAACGGCCGGAACCGAACCGGTGTCAAAACCGAACCGGCTGCAGAACCGGACCAAACCGAACCGATCCCTTCATGTAAAAACGAAGACGCCGTCGTCGGAGACCTGTGGAACGAAGTCTGGGCAGCGACATCCGAACCCGACCCCCACACCAACCATCGATCGGCGGCGAGCGAGGGGGGGAAATGAGAATGGGCGGGCCTTCTCAGAAGGCTCGAAGTCCCCCTGCCTTCTGAACAGCTTCTGGAGCCTTCCCCGAAGACTCAAAACCTCTCAGAAGCGCGAAAGCTTCTGAGAAGTCCCAGCGCCTTCTGAGAAGGCCTCCCCCTTCTCACTTCCTCCCCTCGCTCGCCACCGAATCGAGCCTCCTGAACAGACGGGAGGCGGGGGTAAGGTTCGGAGTTCGCCACGTGCTCTCGACGAATTCCGAAGCCTACCCCCGCCGCCCGACGAGTTGCTCGAATCGTTGATTGGCGGGGTAAGGTTCGAATTTCTGGTGAAACCACGAGAAATCGCTGACGCCACTCCCCGGACCTCTCCCGGGGTGCGTTCTGACCCGACTCCCGAGGCGAATCCAACGGTGGTGACGAGGGTCTCCCAGGAGGCCCCTGCAAAGCGAAAACGATCCAAAAATGGCGGCATCGATACCTTGCCCTAAGATCCGACGTTGCAACAAAAAATGCAACATCGCAAACAATCGCGACCGGAGCCCCGAACCAACCATCTTCCGCATCATTTTTTGTGAGCCGGATCGAGCTGTGCGGGTCCCAGACCCCGAAATGGAGAGGAAACGCCCGCTGTGGAAAAAAAATGCAACGCCAGGATCTCCGCGCTCGATCTGCTCGGACGAATCTCGCCGCCGATACAGAAAACCACCGCAAACGACGGCCGGCGACCGCCGCCAAGCGCCGCGGCAGGGCAGCGGGGCCCGCGGAGGCGTCGAGTATACACACAAGAGCACAAGAACGACCCCGCGCAAGAGAGGCCTTTGGTGCGCGGCTTTGGGGGGGCCGCGGGGGGGACCAAACACGAGCACGCGAGACGCTACTGCCGCATCGCGCTTGGCGATCGGAGGACCCCAGTGGGCCCGCACCGGAGGTCACTTCTGCGAAGGGTCACTTGGGGGTCCAAAAACCGTGTGGTGACAGACCGTGCGGTGACGTCGGAACCCCAAGAGACCTCACCACGCGGTCCGTCACCGCACGATCTTGGGACCCTGGAGGTCCCTGTCGCCCGAGACATCCTCGGAGAGGGTCTCGAGCCCCAAAACCGTGCGGGGACCCCGAATCCCCACCGACTCACCACACGGTGTGGTCACCACCCCGTTTGGGGGCCCCCGGGTCAAACTTACGTGTAGTCGAGGGGGGCGGCCGCTGGTAGGAGTGACCTTTGTTGCGAGGCTTTTGGGGGGACCAAACACGAGCGCGCGAGACGCCACTGCCGCATCGCGTTTGGCGATCGGGGGACCCTTGCGAAGGGAAGCAGGAGGGGGGAGGATAGGTAGGAGGGAGACGAGGAGGAGGAGGAGGAGGAGGAGGAGGAGGATCAGGAGGAGGATCAGGAGGAGGAGGAGGAGGAAGAGGCGTGGGCCCGCACCAAAGGTCAATCTGGCGAAGGGTCACTTTCACGTGTAGTCGAGGAGAGGGCGGCCGCCGGGGGGGGCTGGCCTGCGTGCCGCTCGGCATGGGCTGCGGCAAGATCGTGCGCCGCGAGGCGGGGGAGGACTCGGCCTGGCGCCGGCGCCGGCTCCGGCACGAGTCCCTCCTCCAACTCCTCCTCCTCCTCCTCCTCCTCCTCCTCCTCCTCCTCCTCCTCCTCCTCTTCTTCGTCCTCCTTCTCTTCCTCGTCCTCCTCCTTCTCCTCCTCCTCCTGCTCCCTCCTACTCCTGCTCCTCCTCCTGCTCCTCCTCCTCCTCCTCCTTCTCCTCCTCCTCCTCCTCCGCCTCCTCCTCCTCCTCCTCCTCCTCCTCCTCCTTCTTTCGGGGGCTGGTGGTGGGTCCTGCGGAGTGAGGCACCGCGCGGATCTGAGCAAGACCTCGCCGTGCCTGGGGGAGGGCTGCGATCTGCGAAACTGTCGCCACTTTCGAGGGCTGCTGGTGGGTCCTGCGTAGCGATCTGCGAAACTGTCGCCACTTTCGAGGGCTGCTGGTGGGTCCTGCGGAGTGAGGCACTTCGCAGATCTGAGCGGGGCCTCGCCGTCCCTGGGGGACTGCGATCTGCGAAACCGTCGCAACTTTCGAGGGCTGCTTGTGGGTCCTGCGGAGTGAGGCACCGCGCAGATCTGAGCGAGACCTCGCCGTGCCTGGGGGGCTGCGATCTGCGAAATTGTCCCCACTTTCGAGGGCTGCTGGTGGGTCCTGCGGAGTGAGACGCCGCGCAGATCTGAGCGGGGCCTCGCCGTCCTTGGGGGGATGCGATCTGCGAAACCGTCGCAACTTTCGAAGGCTGGTGGCGGGTTCAGCGGAGCGAGGCACCATGCAGATCTGAGCGAGACATCGCAATCCTTGGGGGGTTGCAAGCCTCACGAATACCGCTCGCAGAAATATATGCGCCCATGTCACGCCATCACCTCCGTATGATGTCTCCCAAGCTACTCATGCCCCGCATTGCGCAGGGGTTGGGTACGTCGCCAGTGTAATTGTTTACTATGATGAATGTTTCTCCTGTAGGGGGACAGGCCCAACTTCAGCCCAGGGGTGCCCATTTTTGAGCAGGGACCGACCGTCCTGGCATTCCTATAGTCCTACCAAGAGCCGAAAAATGTTCTAAGAACCAAATCAATGTTCTTAGAACATAAACCCCATGCGATAAACCAAGACACTCTCCGCCAGAAATGTTCCAAGAACATTTCGTGGGAACCACGAAAAGTTCTCAGAACATTGTTCGGTGGGGCTATAGTCGGGCGTTGGCAGAACTGGGTTAAGTGGAACTTGGTTTAGTGACTTGTACCGGGGGCGCCCCCCCGTCCCATTTCCACTAACCGGAACTGCCGTCACCCGAAAAACACCAGTCACGGCAGACCTGGTTTAGTGAACCTGGCCACTTGAGGAGCCCCAGGGCACTACCACTAACCGGGCCCCCTTACCCGATATAGGCGAGCCAAGACGCTTTGCCACTGCTCGACATTTGGGCCTCCCCCGGCGCCGGCAGGCGCCCGCAAGCTCGTGGCAGCAGTGGGCCCGCAGAGGCCCGGCCGGGGGCGCAGGGCACGCCGCCGCCTGGGGGCCGCGCTGTCGACGCCGCCCCCAAGCGCCAGAGGAGCTCGAAAGCTGCCTGCCCAGACCCCCTCGAGGCATGAAAAAATCGCGACGGCTGGTTCTTCGTCGCTGTTGTCCGCCTCTGGGGGTTCCTACTGGCCCTCGGCACCGTTAAAAAACGATTCGGAATGAGAAACCGGTCCCAGCGCATTGGTCTGGACCTCTGGGGGTCACGTAAGAAAAAAAAACATGACGTCGGGGATCTCGGTCTCTGGAATCGAGTAAGGGATCGGCTACAGAGTTGAGATATCCCGAAACAAATGTCATCGTCGAGATCAACGTCCCTGGGAGGTCGTGGGCGCGCAGACTTGGGTTGCGCATGTCCTCCTACTGGCGGGTTTTGGAAGAAAAACATTGAGCAGTTAAAGATAAGTACCCCCAAATAATCAAAAGAGCACGAACAATCGGCACCTGACGATTTGCTCACTATTCTTGAACACTCCCCCTGTAAAGGGACGCTGCCCGACCCAAGCGCAGCCGGGGGAAGCTCGGGGCCGCTGGGGGCCCTCTCCTGCGGGACCAGGGCCGCTCAGAGACGCGGATTTTCGGACGCTCGGGCGATGGGGGAAGCCAAAATCGAGACCCTTGGGCGGCGGGGTTCCTCCTAGGGAGAGGGGTGATTGGGGGGGTAGCATGCGTTACCCCCTGGGACAGCGAGTGCAATCATAAGAATGAGGTGCTAATACTGGGGCTAATAACAGTCGTCGGGGTAATGACCACCAAAATAATGATGATGCTGATAATGCTGCTACTCATGATAACCAGATCACGTATACGATTGGTATCGCCTGGTGAAGGAGAAAGTTCGGCCCCGCCGCCACGCGTCTGGGCCAAAGATAAATCAAAACCAGGGACTTCAAGAGGGGTTGATCAAATACTTTCCGGGGTATCGGTTACTCAGCCAGACTGGGCGAAACTCTGCCAAATATCGAACCAGATCAACCGTGATTACATCGAAATAAGGTGGGGCCGGTTTTCTGATCACAGATGTGCGAGCGCCAAGACTTGCGACAAAGCATGAAGGAAGGAACCCGTGACAAGCGGCAGCCCCTCATAGACAAGCGTTTCCACTACTCGCAAAGCAACTACTCGCATATGGCCTGGATCCGCCGCGGGGGATCTGCGATACTTACATCGAGGAGAACACGTGTTTGTCGGACGCTTGCAAGTAAGCACTTCGTGAGTAGTAGAACAACGCGCTCGGTGACCTTCCACCAGGCCAAGGCAGCCCTGAGAACCCACGGCGCCCTGGAGAGCCCCCGCGGGAAGTCGAGGCGCAGCGCACGCAGCGAAGCGTCCCAGGGCACCCCGACAAAAAAAGCATACAGTCTCTTGCTGCGCCTCCCCGCTGCACGCACACTTGAGCAGGGACCGACCGTCCCGGCATTCCCATAGTCCTACCACGAAATGTTCTTAGAACCCAACATGTTCTAATAACAAGAGCAATGCTCTTAATACATACACCCGATGTGTTAAAGCAAGACAACATCAGCCAGACATGTTCTAAGAACATTTCGTGGAAACCACGAGAGGCTCTTAGAACATTGCTTGGTAGGGCTGACTATAGGCGAGCCAAGACGCTTTTTTGGACACCCGAAATGGGTACGGAAAGAATGGGTACAATGCCCAACAACAAATGTTGTCCCAAACCAACAGCGGCGGCTGTTGGGCAGGCGGCCTTATGTCTCGAATGGACACAGGCCGCGTCGGTGTGGACAGCGAGCCCTGTTCAAAATGAACAAGAACTGATGTTGAGCATTGTACCCATTCTTTCCGTGCCCATTTCGTTCGTGCAGAGCCTTGCCACTGCTTGACACGCGGGAGCAGGCCCGCGTGCAGGGACGGAGAGGAGCACCGCGGGACGGCAGAGCGCCCTCGGAGCAGGAAGGAGGCACTCCGGGGTGTGCGCCGGAGCCAGGCTCAGATCCTCGCAGGCTGCCGGTGCGCATGTGCAGGTGCACGGGATGCTCCCTGTGCCTACTTCGGCTCCGATGCTTGGCGGCGGGCGAGGGGAGCGAAGTGGGAAGGAGAAGGCCTTCTCAGAAAACTCGGAACGGATTTCTTTTGGGGCTCCGAAGCGGATTTCTTGGATCCGCGCTAGACCCCCCTCCCTGCGCGGAGCGCGCCAGGGGCGGCGAAGGAGGCGCCGGGGTCCAGCGCGGATCCGAGAAATCCGCGCGGACCTCCGAGGTTTTTATGTTCATGTCATTATTCGTTCCCCTACTCTCGGCGGCGAGCGAAGGGGGGAAGTGAGAAGGGGCGGGCCTTCTCTCAGAAGGCCAGGAAGTCCCCCTGGCTTCTGAGGAGCTTTCTGAGCCTTCCCCGAAGACAGGAACAACTTCTCAGAAGGCGCGGGGGCTTCCGAGGGGCCCCGCCGCCTTCCGAGAAGGCCTTCTCCTCCCTCGCTCGCCGAGATGCCTCCCCCGGCTGTCTCTGCCGCCTCCGGAACCCAAAGCTGCCGCTGGCGGAGCAGATGCAGATATGCGTTGCCAAGCCAACACTGCAGGCCCCCCAGCGCCGATGCGAGCAATCCGCGCAGGCCTCCGAGTGTTCTGTTTCTGTCCATTGCCTGTCGTTGCTCCTCCTACATGCCGGCCAGGTCGCTTTTTGCAGTGCCCCTGCATCGCTGCCGCCTCCGAGGAGTCCCGCCGCCTTCTGAGAAGGCCTTCTCCACTTCCCCCCCCCCTGGCTCGTCGCCGATGCTCGCTGCCCGGCTGCCCGCGGGAGACGAAGGGGAGGTCGGCTCGGCGAGGGAGCCCGGTGGCCTCGGCGGCCGCCATGCTGCGCCGCGGCGGGGACACGTCGCCCCTGGCGGTCGCGCGGGGCAGGCCGAGAGGCGCGCCAGGGGCGGGAAGAGGACGGCTGACCTCGATTCGGAAACTGGAACTATACATTACCAGTGGCGGGCTGTTCTGCCCGCCCCCGGACTTTTTGAGGAGCGGGGGCGGCGGCGGAGTGGTGTGGGGCATACCTGTTTCCCCGCTCTCCTGGGGAGACAACGAAACATGTATACACCGGGGTCCCCTATACACCAGAATCCGCTTTCCTGTGCGAGTTCCAGTGCGGGGCCGGAAAAAGTGTCGGTATAGAGTTCGGCTCCTTACATATATGATGTTCCAACCTACTTCAGCCTTGATCGCCAGAAGGAATTTCGAACACCAAGAAAGTGCCGGAATTGCATGGTTTTCGCGTGTCGGGTCCTTGGGAGGCGATACTCGCTCGACTCTTCGCCGGCGCGTCGGGCAAAGACGGTTTCGACACTTCTCTGGGTGCTCGAAATTGTCTCTGGGATGTGGTGCTTAAGTACGCGGGGAGCCACATAAGGCTGACCAGGATGGAAGGGTCAAGCCTTAGGTCGGGCATGTCGCCCTACAGGTCAGTTTTGAAGAAAGAAACATGCAACAAACATCAAACAATACACACACAAATAGCCGAAAGATCGTCCCCCCCAGCCTATTTTGTTGACTATGTTTGAAGATTCCCCCTGTAGAGGGACGTGCCCTACTGGAGTTCAAGCCCTGGCTGCCAGGCGAGCGCCCAGCCTGGTGTGGGCCTGACGGTCGAGGTGGGCCCCCTGAGAGGGGCCAGGGAGGGGCCAGGCGAGCTCTGGGATCCACACCCCGAAAACCCGGAAGACGTGCACGAGAGACAAATTCAAGAGGGAACGCGCGGGGGGCCGGACGAGGAGGAAGACGAAGAGGACGGATGAGATGGAGAGGAAGAGAAGTAATCAGGGAGACTGAGGCATCATGCCAGGAGGCGTGCGAGGAGGAGTTCTGGCCCGACAACCCCGAAGACGCTCACGAGGTAGAAACCCAAAAGGGAACGCGCGGGGGGCCGGAAGGGTGAGCGAGGCACTCCACTGGGGCCCTCAAACCCTGGCTGGCACCGAAGCCCCAACCAGACATGGAAGACCCGTGGATTTCCGTCTACCATTAGGGCGGGCCTGTCCCCCTAAAGGCGGATTTGGGGCGACAAATAACAAATACACCCCACATACCCAAAAATAGCAGAGGAAACAACAACATGTCAAACAATCGTCCCCATACTACTTCTGGACTATTCTTGAATGTTCATTCCTCCTGCAGCGGGACATGCCCGACTGAAGTCCACCAATTTCTCCGCAGCCCGTCGGCCTGCGTTGGGCTCGGGCGGGGCCCACTCCCGTGCCCCAGGGTTCGAGGGGGCACCGGGGTCTACGACAGGGCGGGCGGCGTGTGCGGCGGCGGGCTCAGAGGGCGGAGCCCCACATTCCGCCGCAGGCGAAGAGGAAGGATTAGCTGGAAAGGAAAAGAGGAAATCGGGGAGACTGACAGAGGCATCAAGCCAGGAGGCGTGCGAGGAGTTCCCGCAAGAAAAACGGCACCGTGACCAGCAAGAATAGTGAGAGGAATCAGAGAAAGCGGACATCGACAAAGGCAAATAGTAACACAAATGAGACCATGAAAAACGATCAAACAAGACCGCTACGAATAAGGGTAACAGCACACACGCACACAGACACACACGCCCTCCCTTCCTGGAGTAATTCGGGCGATCTTGGGGCCAGTTTGGCGATTTGGGGGCCACCCAGGCCCGCCAGAGCCCTTTCAGCAACCCCCGGCGCTCCAGGGGATCCGTCGGGCCGTAGAAGCACTGGGGACCGCACCAAGAAGCCAAAATGAGCAGAATCCCTTCCCTTAGGTGTTCGCCGGGTTTCCACAATCCCGCCCAGTCGGTCGCAAGAGCGTCCAAGACAGCGAGAGGGTCCCAAGACGAGAAGACGAACTCAAAAAGCACGGCACTGCTGCGCCGTTGGAAGCGGGGCCTTCCTCAATGGTCCCAAGACCCCCAAGAGGCCCCCACGAGACCCCAAGAAGCCCCAAGACGCAGCCGAGTGGTCACCCAAACCGAAGCGCAGTCGTGGGATATGGGCCGCAGGCCACAAGTTTCGACCCTCGAGCTCAAACCGCCACTGCCCCTGGTCCCCGTCGCAGTGCCGCCTCTTGCGCCGAAGCTGTCTGTTCGGGGTCGGCGGAACCCGCCGCAAGGCCTTTGCATTCGACGATGCGCCACCGCGCCGCAGGGCAAGGAGTGGGCGTGTTCTCTGCTCCTTTGCCTAATTCCTTACAGTCATCGGACTGGCCGAATGAGCGATCAATAAGGAACGAAGCCCCTTTTTATCCCAAGGACTAACGCATAAGGAACGATAAATAAGAGATAACGCATAAGGAGCTGTAGATAACGCATGTGAAACCTAAGGAACGACCGAGCCCCTTTTGAAAAGTAAGCGTTCCTTATTCAAGCCCCCCACTGTAAGCCCCAGTCCGCAGTCATTGAGGAGCCTCTCGGGGCCCTTGGCCCCAAATGGCCGAGCCTGCATGGGCTTCGCGCGTGCCCCCCCTAGGGGTTCCCCGCACCTGCCCGCGTGACTGCTCGGGCCCCAGAGGGCCCCCCGGCTCAAGCCAAACAGCACTGGCTCAAGCCAGTTTCAGCTCCGCCTCCAGGCCCTTTCGACGAGCACGTCCTCATCCAGCTTTCCATCTCCAACCCTTTTATCCACCTTTCCATTTCCATGCGTTTACCTTCCGATGGCTGACAGGACCATGCTAATGCCAGGAACGCCAGTGCGAGGAGTTCTCGAACGTGACGTTCGCCAGCGATTGCTCAGCCCGCTCCACGAGATGGACGACGGGCCGAACGACCTCGACTCCCTCGGCCCCCCTCCCCGTCTGGAGGACCATCGCATCTATTCGCCAATGGCCCCGAACACTCCGGAGCAGGTAGCTGCGCAGCCGCCGACGTTCCAACAGATCGCGAATCTCCTGATGCAGGAGGCGCAGCCACTTCGGAAAACAGTAGAGAACTTAGAGCGCATAGCGACTGAGCTCGTAGGGGCCATGGAGGAGAGGATGACGGAGGTAGAGAGCAAGATGCAGAACATGGACGCGCGCCTGACGCACTTGGAAACCAGTTCCGCGGGCTTCCCGGACATATGCAGAAATGCGGGACCAGCTGAAGATGTTGGAGGATCAGATCTCGGAGCTCAAGCTGATGGACAACACGCAGAGGAGCAATCGGAACCAGAACGAATACACTGCGGTGGTCGGTGGACTTCAGACGATCGGCAGCACGGAGAACGCGAAGTAATGGAAAGAGGCGAACATGTGGAACCTCTACGGGCCGCAGCCGGCAAAAGCGTACTCTAAAAGCGTCACTTGCCGGGCATATCAAAATGAGTGCAACATAAATCAACACAAGTGCTCATATCTGGTCTAGGACTGAGTATGCCCAACTATTCGGGCACCCCGGGTCCAGTTCGCCACCAGCGTTTCGGCGTGTGGATGGCCATCCTCTTCAGGACCTGCCACAACCAACCACGGGGCAGGCCGACGCTGACACGAACGACTTGTTGGCCTTCAAAGAAAGAAGGAAACAACTGCCCCCTCTTTCGTGACACCGTCGGCACCTGGCAGCTAGGGCGCTGATGCCCTCTTTTTTCCTTGTGACCCCCCGCCCCCGTGACCAGAGCACCGACTGGAGCACAGGACGGCGGAGCCACCTTCGTATCCCGATTCACGGGCACCACAATCAGAGCGTACGTGCGAAGCCCCCTCTTTGGTAAAGCGACCACTGATACAACTCTGGCTGATGGGAAAAAGGCTGTGGCTGCTGACCGAAAACGAGGAAGACGAGCTCCCGGAGAGCTTCGGCTGATAACCCGTCACTTGCCAGGCATATCAAAATGAGTGCAACATAAGTCAAAACAAGTGCTCATGTCTGGTCTAGGACTGAGTATGCCCAACTATTCGGGCACCCCGGGTCCAGTTCGCCACCAGCGTTTCGGCGTGTGGTTGGCCATCCTCTTCAGGACCTGCCACAACCAACCACACGGGGCAGGCCGACGCTGACACGAACGACTTTTTGGCCTTCAAAGAAAGGAGAAAACAACTAAAAGGGACTCTCGTGGACTCATCTCCGTTCGATTCGGGAACCGTTATGACAGGGACGCTACCAAGAAACTCCTTCGCCAGGCCTCTCAAGGAGGGCGGGAACGATATTTGGGCAAAGAGGAACATGGCGCTCCCTAAGCGCATCCTCACGTCCTTCGCATTTGGCGTGGGGGTTCACGGCCGACAGCGTTTGGGCAGATCCAGAGGAGGGTAAGGTGTGGAATGGCGCGGTTGTGGCGGTGAGCGGGAGGATCGTGGGCAACAAGTTTGAGACCGACTTTGGCACGGGCTGGGAGGAGTGGTTCAAGCAGGACGGCTAAGTACACCAATGTCCAGGACTTGGTCGCGAACCTCAACGCCAAGCTCGGTAAGATCCCCTCCAAAAGCCTCGGGAAAAGGAAAGGGAAGGCTGCCGTCAGTACGTAGGGGCGCCAACAGCACGTGAGCAATGACGTTTCACCTGCAGGATGTGGACGTCCAACTGGCCAAGCCACGGTGTCACTTCTGCGGCTCGGGGTGGTCGTTTACGCCCTGCCAAGGCTGACGAATTCAACATTGCATCTTGCAACATCGAAGGGCATACTGATTCGAAACAAGTTGAGCTAGAAATCATACTTCAACTAGATATCAAGATCATGTGCCTACAGGAGACATGGACATCGAAATCCTCCACGTAAGTCACGGAGTCAAGCTTCCTAGTTGTTCTGTCTGGCGGCGTGGGCGACCCAGAGGACGAGCGGGCGGGAGCGGGCTTCATCGTACATCCAAGATTCAGGTGCTCTGCTGTTGGATTTTGCCAGGCGACGGACCGCATGGCATCGCTCAAGTGTCGGATCCCAGGAGGTAAAGCTGTCATTTTCTCTGCTTACGCGCCGC